TTGGAGAGTCCGAGGGATCTTGCGCTGGACCCACTCTTGGTGTTGAGGTGACTGAGGCCGGGGAGGCAGACCCAGGTCATTGCAGTAGGCTGGGATAGGACTGGAGATAGTCCTGGGCGGGAGAGGGGGGTCTGCAGGGTGTGGTCGAGAACATCAGGATGGTGACTGTAACCGTTTCTTAATGCACATCACACCTGCGCCATGCCCTGCAGACAGTCCTGCACCTGCGAGGTTCGCTCTGCCTTTTCGATATGCTGATTGTGGATTCGGAGAGGCCACGTCAGTGGCGACGACGTGGGGAGGGTTGCGGGCAAGGAAGGGAGGACTCCTTTAAAGCCTTCATTTTGTGCTGCCTTTCAGACATGCTTCGCCTGCAACTCCAGTCTTTGCTGGGAAATTCTGGGAGCAGCAACAGCAACTAAAGGTGGAAATGAAGCTCACTGTGGATTGATAGAGGAGGGTGTTTCAAGTTCCGTCAAAACTCAATCAGCCATAAGATGGAGAGCAGCAGAGAAGGAAGTCAAGTGTTCATCTTTGGTCAAAAGTTTGCACCAAAAATGTGTTTAAGAGATGTGCATCTGAGAAAGATCATAACTTCTGAAACTTACATTCTGAAATGGTAATTATAATGTGAATAGTTGAATAGGGTAGATTTCTGGTTGTCTGCACATCCCTGGTACAGGCAGTCCTCACCTAATGACCACAATAGGGACTGGAAAATTCATTGTTAAGCAGGGCAGTTGTTAAGCAAGCTGCACCTGATTTTACAACCTATTTTGCAGTGGTCATGAAGCAAATCACCGTAGCCATTAAGCGAATCACACAGTCATTAAGCGAATCATGCAGTTCCCCATTGATTTTGCTTGCCAGAAGCTGACTAGGAAAGTTGCAAAGGGCGATCTCATGACCCTGGGATGCTGCAACCGTCATAAGCTGGTTGCCAAGCACCCGGATTGCAATCACCTGACTGTGAGGGTGCTGCAACGGTTGTAAGTGCAAGGATCAGTTGTAAGTCCCTTTGTTCAGGACTGTTGTAACTTCTAACAGTCGCTAAATGAATGTTGTTAAGTGAGGACTACCTGTACTTTGATTTCGAGCAGTATACAATACAATCCATTAGGATAGAAGATGGATCCCATCTAACCTAAGGCCTAGCTAAGGCCATCTAAATAGTGTCCATCAAAATCCGTAACTACTAGAACAATCCTGTGACTAGAACACAAACTTGATCATGAGGATCCTGTATGGCTGAAGCTAAAGATCCTGGCCAGTCTACACCCAGCCAAGAATTCGTGACTAAGGCGGCTTTCTGGTTTGTCATCCAGGCCCTCAGCTGGCGTCTGACATCCATCTGGCTTTCTCCGCTGAGACGTACCTGCCAGGTGCCCCACCGAGTGGAGATATCACCAGTCAGTCTTTCCAGGACTTGGATGCAGATGCGTGTGGACAACAGGCTGAAGATGCAGAGGTAAACACACGTCTCTCTGCATGATCTTTGGAGATTTTGCACACTGGGATCACAGCTGGGGACCCTTGTATCATGCTGGTTTATCTTGATTTGACATGACTACAAAAGATGGGGAGATGCAAGCTCTGAAACCCAGCTCTGGAGCATATGGGATAAACCCACCTATCTTTTCAGGCACCTCATTTAAAGTGATGTGACATCATTTGCACCCCCAGGAACAGCCCTCACCTTACCACTTTTGCTCACTCAATGAACTGAGTTTGCTGCAGCCTCACAAGCTTTAGTGGCACCCCAGGGTTAGGGAAGGGAGAAACCATGCTTTTCCATCCTGCTTCTCTCTACATAGGAGAGAGCAAAGATTTGGAAAAGGATATTTTGCAAAACATGTGAATGCAAGGAAGGTACTCTCTGCAGAGCATTAAAGCAGCTGCCTCCTGAAAGTCTTCAGTGGGTGCTTGGGGGGCTCTTGCTGGTTGTCTGCATGCATTTGTCCGTGCACAGCAGCTTTGCTTCACTGAAATGTGAACGTGCGTGTACACATGGGCAGACAGTCAGGGTTGGCCTTCACTGAAGTCACACCACAGCACTTCTGGAGGATGCAGCTGCATTACTGCACGCTGGCCAGAGTTACTTCGAGCGAGATGGGTCGCCATATAAACTTGACAAACTAATTAATTAATTAACATCTCAGGAAGGATGCTTCACTCTTACAATCATGCTTTGCAGAGTCCTGATAGGAACCAACATGATTTACACGGAAGGTATAACACATTATATTTAGAAATAATTTTAGAAAATAGCAAAGTGACCCCCCGTAAAGGATGTCCCATAAGCTAGGAGCTACCACTCTCTTGCGCCTCCTAGCCTTCGCTGAACCTCCAGTGGCATTGTTGTTTAGGGGGGAGGGTGGCATTCATGTTCTTTGGGTCTGAGTCTGCTGTTAATACCAGTATTTAAGCCTCAAAATATATAAATAGCTGAGGTTGTATGCAATCAGTTTACATGCTCCAGTCTCTGGGGTCTGATTAAAATTTTGAACCAGTTGAAGTTCATGAGCTACCCTAAAGAGATGGCCTGTTCTGAGACTATCCTGTTATTCCAAACTAGAAATGACTAGATTATGAAATGTTGTGGTGTATTCTAGAATGGTCCACAACTGGAAAACCTCCCAAAACATCTGGCATATTAGTACAGTCCCCTCCAGCATATGTTGTGAACTTCCACCCAGCTCTCTGGAAGCCCAACCAAATTCTTCATGAATTTGTTTGCTCTTGGGTTCCATATTCTAACATGTTAGTCCATAATCTTCTCCACCAACATGGAACTGGAGGAAGAGAAAAACATTATGGAACAGAGCAAAATGCCACTTGTATTCCACAGACAGATTACTAGTCGATGTCACCTGGTGGCTTTAGACAGATGTTCAGAAGTAGTGGGACCATGAGGTCCACAAACAAAGCACATGGGAAGGAGCAGCTGTTTCTCCACACTGCCCTCCAAGATTGACCTTCCAGGTATGACTTCCTGGGACATAACCAACTCCAGCTGAAGACAGGCACTGCTCTCTAAGGAAGCATTCCAGAGGCATCTTTGATCAAAAAATTGTCCATAAACATTTCTTAATGTGATGTGGACCTAAACCGTTAACTACTCTATTCACACTCCAGATATGAAGAGTGGTTTGGGGTGGTTCATTAGTTAGAACCTAGAGGTCAGAAGCCCCTGTTAAAAGTTTAGCCATGAGCCTGATGGGTGCGGGACTTTACACGAAGAATAAAGTTCTTCAAAGTCTTATTTCTGTATACAGTAATTGAAAAAGTGCAGTGCAAGCAAATTGGTGAAGTATGTCCCGTTCCATGCAGGAAGAAGGAGAAAGAGCTAATGTGCACCAGCAAGGAAATATTACTGGGTGTCCAGGGCAGCTTTTCCTGCTTCCTTTTAATTGGAATTATCTTTTTTCGCCACAGGAGGTAATGGAAAATGCTACTCCTAACTCCTCCATCAGGGAAAGAGTGCTATTTCAGAGCATGATAACCCTGGAAATGAGCTTTCAAACCACCACTGGTTATGTCCTCCTTTTTTTTTTTTGAAGTACAGATTATTGGGGCCAGGGACGGGGAGGAAAACTGATAGATGAGATCTTACCAAGGCATTCCATACCTGGGCTATATGGCTGATGACTCCTCAATGCAAGCAAAGTTGCAGAAGGTCTTGCCTCCATCTAGGGTTGCCTGGATTTTTGCAGCCCACAGAAGATCTGCCTGATCAAACAGATCCCTACTGAAAGTGGCGTCATCCTGATGTTATGTCAGATGAGACCTTCCGAGTAGCAGGACTTCATGTTTTCAACTCCTCTAGTTGGAAATGTACTGATTAAAGAAAAAAGAAAGTAAGTGGTGGTGATGTTGTTGCTGCTGTTTAGAAAAGAGGGAGGTGTCCGTGACTTTTTGACATTTATGAAATACTTGTGTCCTGAGATTTTGCAAAATCCATGCTTTAAAAATGTTAACTTTCTATTTAAGGGGTTGTGTCCATCTGTCCAGGTGCTGGTTATCACAGGCAGACCATGAAGGAAGTGTTTCTACATTGGCTACTGCTGATTGAAAAAGAGATAATTGGGGGAAAGGAAGTCCACCAAATTCCTTCCATTGTCATGGTGACACAAAATTCTTTACTATGGTACCCTTTAGAAGTGTTGACTTCACTGCCTGAATTGCAAGCCAGGCCCAAAGCATGTGGGCTTGGGAATTCTGGGAATTGGAATCCAAGACTTGAGCATGACACCATCTGGAGAAAAGGTGATGGAATTCCTTCAGGAATGAGATCATATTTAGCAACTTTTTTCTGAGATCATTCTGAGAAGTTATTCCAGAAGAGCATGGAATTTGCAGCAATGATAGTGCAGAGTCTTACTAAGAAGTGGTCCTGCATGATCAGTGAAATGTCCATTCTCCATGCTGGATTACTTTGATGAGGTCTGACCAATTGATACCTTAATGCAGCCCTTCTTAAATGATGCACTGAGGGAACTGAAGAGGGGGCTACTTACATCAGTAAAGGCATCTACCTAAGGAATATATTCAAGCCTAAATGTCTGTTACACTTATCTTTTTTCTTAGGGTTCTGAATCATTTCCAGCACACCGCAGAGAACCAAGGATCCAAAGTAACTGACCATCTTGTATTTAAAGGTAGGCTGCCTTGGTTGTTGGATCATGTCCCATCTCTATCAGAAAATGTCATTTTCATTGGTCTCTGTTGAGTTAATGTTATTATTCCAGACTCACCTTTCTTGTAGGTGACCATTCTTATGAGAGATCTCTGTAAGAATCCCATGTCTACGTGGGAAAAAATATACGCAGATGAGACGCACACTGTCTTGTTATGCCACAGTGGCAATGGAGGGCCACCTTCTCACTGACTGAGAACAGAACAGGACAACAATAGGGGTTCAGAACCTCTACAGGCCAACGCATACAGAATCCTTTAATCAGAGCTGGGTACTTATGAGACCTGCCAGCTCTGTCCAACCTGAAGTTTTCTGATGCAAGAAATGAACTATTCTGATTGGAGGTAAGGGAACCGCTTCATCTCTACCTTCTTCTACAGTTCTGCCCAGGTCAAGAAGCAATTCTCACTCTGTTAGTATTTTTCCTTTTCATATAAAAAGGAGTTAACTCCATGCAAAAAAATATCTTGTGCCATTTCTTTGGGAAGACCGTGCATGCCCTGAGGAATGTGGATAGGTGGGGATACTATATGATCATCAGCATTCTGTTGAGTATTTCCTCAAGCTGTATAGCTGTGTGCATATCTATAGAGAGAGATAGAAGATAGATAGATAGATAGATAGATAGATAGATAGATAGATAGATAGATAGATAGATAGATAGATAGATAGATAGATACCAGATGTATAGAATATACTGTCCAGGTTTGTGAAAAGCAAACTAGCCTCCTCTCTCTCTCCCTCCCAGGGCCAGAACTAGAGCTGACCCCTTCTTCCTATCCGTGTTTCCCAACTGCTGGTAAGTTTGCAATAGTTCCTAGTTGTTCATTGGCAAGCTCTCTGGTTTTATTCTCCTCGCCCTTTAAATTTTGAAGAACGAAAGGGAGGAAAGGAGGGAGGAGGAGACAAGCTGCTGTCAAGAAAGCTGATCTAACAGTCCACAAGCCACGTTCACGTCTTTGGCAGATGGTAACAGGGATGACTGCTTAGCGCTGCATGTTTGACATCTCCCAGAAATAGCAAGCCATGATAAAATGGTAGGCCTGTAGCCACTATCAGCTGTTCCGGTGTCTTGGCTGAAAGTGGAAGTCACATGCTTCGTTTCGCACCTCCCTGATGCGAAAACGCTCTCGGGGGTGACTCACGGTGCATCTGCTTCCCTCTGAGCCCCCCTCCTTCCTCCCCCACCCCAATTCCCCTTCAGCCCATAGTGGCAGTTGCCTGGTTGTGCTGCTGCTGCTGCTGTTCTCTTGTCACCAGCTTGTGTGACAGGTGAAGTGACACGGAGTCGGCAGAGTTGCAAAGAAGGTTGCTCCGGGCTTTTCCCACATGGGGAGGTGAGGTTGCTCCAGCAGGAGGAGAGCAAAGTGGAAAAAAAAGCATGTTCTAACATCTGTTCGCTTCGCCACTTTTTTTGTTCAGCAGAACAACGGAACAACGGGAAGGGTGAAGGGAAGAGAAGGGACAGAGATGGCCCAGAAGAGCAGCAGGGAGCTCTTCAGGGGGCTCCACTTCCTTCCGAGGACCCTGTCTCTGTACCTCCCATTCATTTCAGCAAGGTCCTACTTGCCTTAAATGGCTAGGCTACCAGTTGTGGCCACTGCCCTGGCAACTTCAAGAAGGTGGATGTGGGTAGGCTGGTTCAGTATCTGGCTAAGGTCTAAGCACCTCCTGTACCCACTAATGGACAGGCAGATGCGGTGCAACCTTTCCAGAATCATATGTATGCTCCTGAACACGTTTAATGTCTCACCAATTGGCTTCATTCTTCAAGGAGGAATGCACACTAACCACACATAGCATAAAGGTCAGGTCTATCGCCATTCATTTATCTGAAGCAATTTGTTTTTAGCCATGCAAGGCATGAATCTTCCTTGATGTGCTGGATCCTGAGGTTCTTGAGTCTCTACACCATCCATTAGGGACTTCTTAGTAGAAGAGGTCAACATCTCTCGCAAAGCCAACTAGGGGCGAATGCCATTTGGAGTGAGATCAGAAACTTTTATTTCCAGAATATATTCAAGTCTATTTCAGTCCTAGATTCCTAGGATTTCCCAGTATCTACTTCATAACTGGTCATTGTCAACCTTTGGTTGCTTGCTGGAAGCAACCAAAACCCTTGAAAGAAGCCGGGAAACAACATCCACAGGTCATCAAAGAAGCAGATACATAAGTGGTATTGGGAAATGAGAAGGCCTTTGCATAAAGACTCTCCACTGGGGTAAAATGCAAGACTGTGGGTTCTGTGTTCTTTTTAATACTCTACTTTCTTTCTAATTACATGATGTGATCATCCTAGAAAGTGATGGAAGACCCTTCAAACAAGATAGGAAGGAGTGGGTACAGCTGAGGAAAGAGGAGCTGGAACAACTATGATGATGAAACATAAAACATTCTGAAGAATAATTTATAACATGTATTATTTTTTTCTTGCCTCCCAACTCATCACATCCCCTCTCCTACCAAAAGGTCTTCTTCATCTGATATCTATTAAGGAAGAAAGAAAACTCATCAACAGAATGCCTTCACATTCAGGAATAATTTGTTGAAAGCCCATACTTCTTTGGTTCTGTTTTATGTGTTATCATGAATAATAGCTTGCTTCCTAGGAAATGGATTATCAATCATTCATCCCAACCCATTTTCAAGTTTGAGTGCTCCCCAAATGAGTGTGATTGTTTGGGAAGACATGCAATAATTTATTTGGATGATCTTCACATAGGGCTGACAACTTGGAAGGATCCTCACATGTTCTTCAAGTTGGACCACATTTGAGAACATAGCAAGAGAGTCTGACCAATGCCTGATGCAAGTGGTCAGGGTGATCTCATGGACATGGTTTACTTGGCCATTCAAAGACTCCTGAACAATCTTAGCTTAACAGAAGTCTTCTCATGGATCAGTAATTGATCAAAAACAGGATGTGGAGAGTGGGAAGAAATGGTCGGTTCTTACAATAAATGGATGGAAACTAATATGCCTCAATTATCAGTATTGGGATTTGTGCTTTTAAATTTGTTCCTGGACTTAGGGATTAGCATGCCAATGGAGCTTATTTGTTAGGAAGGTAAAAGCAAACAAACAAAACGATGGTGAAGAGCTTCAGAAGGACATTGCTCAATGAAGGGTATGGAGCATTCGTGTGGAAAATGATAGATATTGTTTTATATATTGATGGTGGTGTGAAAAATCCTAATTTTGCGTATACACTAATGGATGCTGATGGAATCAGGAAAATGGTTCCCAAAAGTTCCTTGCAAAATTGTGGACGGTTAAGTGAAAATGCTGATCTGGAGCTGTGGAATTCCTTGCTGAGCATCGTTAGGAAACTCATCAAAAATAAAACTGCCCGTATCACACAGGAACCTATGGTGTCACCATGCCTCAAAAGGATCTTCTTCAAGTTTCTAGAGAAGGAATCCACCTTTCTTCAGACAAGTTCCATTCAGAACATCTGCTACCTCATACAGGTTTTGGACCATGGCGATGGTGCAGCCCTCCTCCGATGTTCAGAAAGAGTACACATGAATTGAAGAGCTGGATGTTTGGGGAGAACATTTGGAAATATTATTGTTTGTGTAGTTTACTGTCTTGTTTTGAATGCTAATTTGCACCCTCCTGGAGAAGCTTCTTGGAGTTTGTGTGGGTTTCTTTTTATTGTTTTCACAGATTTGATGCAGTTTCTGTAAATGGCCAGGAGGCCGTGTGGAGTTCCTGCTGGAAACAAACAAGCAAATAAATAAATGTTCTGCAGATTAGAACAGAATTAAAAGGGGGAGTGAGAGAAGATCTACATTGCTTGACCTTCCCACCATAGCTCTGTTAAAAAGAAGCTTTATACAGATCACCTCATGGACAATGATTCTCTGAGGTCTTTGCCTCATCCTTGGATTTTGTTTTTTAAGCTGAGCAGGTTAGGGGTTTTGCCTGGAGCAGCAGTGAGTAAGGCCAGGGCTCCATCGTTGAGCTGCAACCTCCATGAAGCCCAACCAGGAGCTAAATCGTCTTTCCCCTCCTGGAGCCCACCCTTCTGCTCGCCAATCACTCTGCTCTCCGGACCAGCCAGAGGCCCGGAGACTCTGGCAGAGATTTGGACCATTTCTCTGGAAGAATCCTCTCTCTTCATAAACTGAAAACACACCACTCTGCATGCCTGGCTATCACCGGAGTGATTCATCTGGCCCTCTCAATGTAGCAGCCTTATTCACCCATCAAGACCCTGATTTACAATCAGAGAGACATGCACATCCATTTTGTAAAGCTGCTGTGGATTCAGTCAGTCAGCAAATTCCTGCCTGACGCGGATGACGGTTTTGCTTCATTCTGGACAAGGTCCCTGAAGCAAGGTCTCAGCTTAGAAGGTTTGAAGGATGAAGCAGCCTTGGCTTTCGCAGAAATTCAGGAGGCAGCTGTCTCTCCAGCACCGGCTGATAGTGCCTCCAAGTTTAGGAAGCAGCCACCAAACTTTGGAGTCCAACAGTCCAAGAAAAAAAAGGTCTCTCTCAGTGGATGGAAACCCAGCACCTCCCAAATTTTGCACCAGCCATGAGTCAAGCACAGTTTTATTTACGGGATTTAACTTGAATACCTCTAGATCTCCTACTCTCAATGGTTTACAGTAGAAATAAGCATATTGGGGGGAAATTAAAGAGAGATGAAAGATAGAGGCTTATGTGACACACCTCCAAGGAGAATTAGCCACGTGAAGATGTTGCTTTTGTTGACGGTAATTGAAAGTTCTCATCTGATACATCCCTTTTCTGCTCAATTAGAGGAAATTATACATAATCATGTATAGTGTGTGTGCATAATATTCTGTCTGTCTATGTAGTGCAGCACACTGTATGTCTAAGAAATTGAGATACAAATTGAGATAGAAATCAAATCAGTTCAAATATCTCCAGGGTCAGAAAACTCAAGAAAGCAGCTGTGATGGTGTGATTGAAGCTGCACCCGCGACACACCCACGACAGACGTAAAAAATGGGGGGTGCTTCAATCACGCCATCACAGATGCCACCTTGACTTCTGATCGCACCCTGCGGACACCCGTGGTCCCTGGAAGGTGCCCTGGAACATATTGTGGCTTTGCTCTGCATCATAGTTTGACCCTCAGGCCTTCTCCCTGTTCCAGGGAAGCCGTGGCACCGAACTAACACAAAACCGATCCAATTTGGCAAGGCAAACATGCCCACAGAGCCCAAAACCTCCCTGTGCTGTTTAGGCATTGATTTCCATGGAGTTCCCTAGAAAGATGGACTTCAGATAACTGAGCCCCATTTCTCCATGGCTGAGCTCTATAAATGGCTGCTTTGAAATACGGACCATCTCTGAGCAACCACTGCATGAATTCCCCTGTCTCTCCTTAATTGGAGCCTTCATCTCCTGATCTAATAATAATGCAATCGGTACCACCAGGCAGTTTTCGAACAGTTAACTACCCATGCCTGCCACAGTCCATTAGCCACACAAATTCTGCCAAACGCTCACATTAGTTCCATCCAGAGGATTTTTTCAGCATTGCTAGGAAGGGAGCAGGCTGCCCCTCTTCTGGCCTTGGCTAGGCGAGATTCCCCAGCAGGGTCGTCTGAGTCCTGCCCAGAATCTTCACACACATCTTCTTCCCTCGTCCCGCTCTCCTCCGTTCCTCCTGTGCGACCAGAAACACCTTCTTCATGGCTCAATTCCACGATTGGTCTGCCTTTTAATCTGTAGAAGAATTTAGGTTGTATCCTTCTAATGCCCAAGCATTGTTTAGGCCAGCCCGTGATTTTAAGTAATGGAACATGGAAACAGGACACAAGAAAAACAGAGAGAGAATCATTCCAACGTGCCTTTGGCTCTAGCCATTGGAGGTACCTATCAGAAGTGTGTTCATATTGTTTTGTGTGTTTCTAATTTCTGTCTTTTGGGCTTTGCTGTTCACCACCTGGAGTCCATCAGGGCTGAGGTGGACTACAAATATAATTAAATAAGGAAATGCAATAAATAACAAAAATAAAGAGGCAGAGTAGAGATTTTTTTTTTTAATGTAAACTGCCAGAATTGAAAGGTCTCCATCAATCTCTTTCACCTAGTATCAGCCTTTCCAGCTAGGCGAAGTCAAGAAGGGTATGGCCAGGATTCCCAAAATGTTTTTTATTGGTGTAGGATAGAATAACAGGATCTCGAAAGCCAGTGAGAGTTTCTCTCTACTTCATCTTACACCAAGCAAAATCAAAGCAAGGTTATTCTGAGGTTCTTCTCACACATTCCTCTTTCTCAGCACTGAGGACTCTGAGCACTGAGTATCTGAAGCTGATACTTTTGACACCCTCATGGCCAGGCCTGCACAAAAATGTGAGCCTTTAGGGGCGCTAACACAGAAGCACACAACCTTTTTCAAGCCAAGTGTCACACTTGATCTTTGACTGGTGTCAGATTTCCTAACAACAAGAAAAGTTCGCCAGTGGACCTGGTGATGGAGGAGGGGGTGGTTTCCCCAGCATCAAACTGGTTCCAAGAGGCCAGGAACCATTTGTCAGGGGTGCTTTAACTGGGATTCCTGCACTGAGTGGAGGACTGGACTTGATCATCTTCAGAGCCCTTCCAAGTGTAGAATTCTATGATTCTAAGGTGGGGCCAGAACAACATTAAATCTACTCGAATGTACATCTAATTCAAATGAGCCACACACAGCTAATATGATCATCCACTATGCATTTAATGCTTTTCCATTTCTGTCACATTAAGTTTAATTTTTGGGGAGAATTTTTGGGAATCCCTGGGGCCACACGCAAAGCCTCGGGGAGCTCCATGCAACTCTGAGGCCACCTTGAACATCCTGGTTGCCCATCTGGAAGGGGACCCTTTCCACGGGAAAAGGAAGTTTGCAGAATTCTGAAGTTGGGAATTCTGCAGCGAGCTGCTTGTTCAGGGCTGGGTATTGGGCCAATTGCGACCGCTAGATTGCCCCAGCTTAACAAATTCCTGCTTCTTTTCCAACTGTGCAGTTACTGGGCTCTGCATTAGGAAGGCTGGAAACGGGTTGAGGTCCGTGATGCGCAAGGTATTCCAGGTTGTTGGGGCCACAGCTTAGCTTCCAAAGCAGCTTCCAAATGGAAAAGCAGGCTTGCCAAATACATAGGCAGGTTACCGGAACTGTGGGGCATCAAGATTTTGGACTGGGGGGGTAGGGGGGTCAAGGCTTGTAATGGGAGCTCTTTCCTTCTCATTACTACCCATGAAATAGACCCAACCACCTAAAATCATGCTCCCACTAATTGATCATTTTGCCACCAAACTTCAGGGTGCAAGTTTGTGCCCCTTTGGAGGTTGTAAATGGGGCACTGGGGATGGCTGGTTGCAGCCCTTTGGGTTAGAGGAATTCCTTGACTGTATTGTATAATTACAAGAGGTGCGAGCAAGACTTGTTAACTCCTCTTTTTGGGATTCAGGGAGACGATTAGTTCAAACCTATTTACTGATTGATGGATTTTAATAAAATTTATTTCTGCCACAGTTATAAGTAGACTCTCAGTGGCTTACAAAAGAAGACTATAGCATAATCACAAATAATAAAAAAATCACTGCATGCAGACATCGCAGCAATACCAGATGTCAACACCCAAATGCCCTCTGGGAAAGCTCCGTCTTCAGCTGTTTCCAGTGGGTGGATAGCCCTGGCCCGATCCATCCTCCCCCAGCAGGCCATTCCAGAGGCCAGCCCCTCACCGAGAAGCAACGCCTCCAAGCTGCCCCCATCCTGAAAATGGGGGGGAGCCGGCTGCTCCTCCAGCCGGAGCTGAGTGGTCAGGATGACTCCAGTGGGCAGAAGGGTC